TATGCATGAACTTATCAAGGACATGTCGAAGGTCAAATACAGATCACACAAAAAAACAATGTACTAATCCAATAATTATTAGGCAACACAGCATTCTTTGCTGATATCCTGAATACATTTTATTTTGGATTAAAATAAGGAATGTCAACACATACAGAATACATCTTCAGTTCATGTTACAATTTTAAATATTTAATTACTACTGTACTTACTGACAAAATATTGCCAAGATCTTCGCAAAAATGAACGAATTGTATACAGATATCATGAACGAAACTTTGTCTTAAAATGCAATATGCTCTGAGATTGTTATGAAAGAAGGTAACATCTCCTCACTCTCTTCTATTCAAAATTCTTCTTGTATGAGATACCAATCCATGTGACATTAGCAAATTCACATTCTACTCAGATAAATCTCTTCCTTCTTCACAGGAAAGAATATAGTCTGTCTATATGTGATTACAAACCATAGAGTTTAAGAGTTCTGTCCATGCTAGTTGAGGCAATGTATTGAGCATGGCGACCAAATCTCACTCCTGTGGCCATTGCAGTATGATCATTAAATACTTTTAATTCTTGCCACTGTTTACACAGGTACACTCTGAAAGAACACAAATACCATTAGAAATATTAAAAATCATAAACAGTTGAAGGAAAGGTTACATAATATCAGTTACTAGAGCCTACAAACAACTCTTCACTTCCCTGTTCATGTATCCATATAACAAATATGTGAGACAGGACAAGACACAACTATAATGTACTTTTCCTCAACATTTTTGGCAATGTCTGATTCAATAAATAGGAAAACTTATGTTTTTTATTACAATATTGAAAGGTAACAAACCAATCATCTTCCTCACCATAACATGGTCTTCCTTAAGCTGTTTTCCTTAAATAAACAATTCTGAAATAACTGTTTACTCATTGGAAACTCTTACGCAGCCCTGTAAGTAGGCCATCTATCTGATGACCGATATTCTAAAATTTACCACTGTGGCCCCACACTGTATTTCCTTGATGCACTAAACCATTGCCAAGCATTAAGATAGGGATGGGTCTAGAAAGCATTTTGAGCTACAGAAAACAGGATATGGGTGCACTGTCCTTCAGTCATTCAAGAAATTCCTAGTCATGAAATCCAAAGTTTAATTATAAATATCACAAGACTAGTGAATCAGATCCTAACCTCAATCAATCAAGTTTATGCCTCTATAATCTAATTATTTCACTTTCACTTTATTTCACCTACATTTATCTCCAAAGCAGTTTCTATCCATGAGGTGTTCCAATCAAAATGTTCTGTGCTACTCCTCATATAAACATTCCAGAGTAAAAATATAAATACAGGTAGCCCTCAATCTGAGCTGGTCCAATTTGCGCCGATTCAGAATAACGCCGATTTTTAAATTAGAAAGTCAAAAAGTGAAGAAAAAAAACTTTACTATTACTTATAACATTTTACAATGTTTCTCGTACTGCTTCTTATACTAAATCATAATTCTTACATAGCTCATTTTGAATAAAAATTATAAATACAGTCACCTCTGCAATTACGTATGTTTCGTTAACACAAATTTGCTCCAATGAGATCGATGAATCAGTAAAAGCTGTTTGTGAAATGCAAACTTTTGCATATGCGAGTTTGCTCTAATGCAATTGAGGCCATGAGGCCGTATCATGAAATTTTGAAAGAAAAAATCCACAGTCCACACGACACATGATGATCCTCAACCAGGGACTTCATCAGAGAACTAACGCCGCTTCATCACGCCATTGCCAATTGTAAGTGTATAAAATATATTTTTTAAATTCCCTTTATTTTATTTACGTTATTTCAGAGCTTTAAATGTAATACCATTATATTACTCGTCAACGTTTGGGTGCTGGGAATGCATATCATTGACTACATTAAAAAATCGTTCCAATTTACGCCGGTTGGTCCAGGAACACATCCCCGGCATAAATCGAGGGCTACTTGTACACTATGACATGACTGCCGGTAAACAACAGGCTTGAAGTTACTGCCTGGTAACAAGAGACTGTCAGTCCTTATGAACCCTGCCACATATGTACAAAAATGTATACCAGCAAGCAATATAGAGAAATATGTCACAGAACATGCTATGTATTATTACACGTCTTTTGAGACTGTAACATACTGAAATTTGAGGAAACAACATTTCCTAACAGCTCTGTTTATTCAATGTTCTATTCTGAATCTGTAACATATATTAAAAAAAAGATTACAACTTGTGAAAACAAAACAGTTCATAGCATAGAATGATTATGCGAACACAAAATATCACAATACTAAATGTCAAGAATCAAAATATTTTACCTGACGTCAGTCCCTGCAACAGCAAGGTATGTACCACTCTGGTCAAAACATAGATCCCGAATCTCATAACCTTCATCCATTTGTAACGTCTTAAAATTCTTCAGCTTCCTTAGATCCCACAGTTTAACACACGTGTCATCAGCTGCTGTTGCCAAGTAGTAACCATTCTCAGAGAATGAAATAGCAGTGATAGGACCCGAGTGACCTGAAAGCAAGTTGCATGCAAAATTTGAGATTAAAATATAAGGAATCTTATTATGAAGCACTTCACTATAAAGTATTTTATATGAAATGATCACTATAATGAAACAGGTCAGGAAATGTACACAAAACATAACAATTCTGGTGGTGTT